TAATAGTGAAATTTGTGCGACTATTGACAATTTTGGTCATCAATCATGGAGATTTTGGTTACATTGACTATTTGGGCTAGGAGTGGTGTTAATTGTATGACTTTTGACACTCATGACCAAGAATCGTGTAAATTATGCAATTAATGGTACTCATGACCCGGAATGGTGTAAATTACACGACTATTGACACACTCCTATAATTTACAAGACATTTGCACCAGAACTACCCATTAAGCAGACACCAAGGCATTTTCCAGCCCATAACTCATTTTCCACTCAATATATCCCACCTCAGCAAAGAAAAAAGATCAGGAAAATGGAAAACATAAACAAATAAAGTCATAAGAGCGATATAAAAGTCCAAAAAAATGAGAACCATTGAGAGATACATGCACAAATAGATATATACGACTAAGGATAGTAAAGTGAAGCATCAGCAAAAGTTCTTAAGTAGAGCTAAATTGCTTTCTCCATTCCCCATCATATTTTCGACATGCAGCACTGCCAGTTTTTTTTTTTTCAGAAAAGTAAGAAGAATGGAAACAGAGAAAAAACTTATTTAATATGAGATGCTCTTTTTCTGGCTGAAAAACCTGTAATGTTGTGCATATATGGACGAATTTTGCTGCTCTGTTAAGTTCAGCTTCACTTCACTTTTACTATAAGCTCTTTGATACATAAAAATGGATAAATGGACGTGAGTGCTGAACAGCAAATGTTTTTTTTTTTGGCAAGAGAGAGAAAATTATGAGAAAGTTGCTGTAAAACATAACATGATGTAGATCATGAAAATTGGTTGCCATTATCAAGAGATGCACCGATGAAGGAGAAGTAGTAAAGAGCTTGTAGTGCACTACTTCCGATGTTTGAGAGTTGATGGGAAGTTTTCGGTAGTTTAATTAATTTATTGAATGGATTTAATTTTATAAATTAAGTTTACTTGAGTCTTTAAAGGTGATTTATTAAAGATAATAAATGAATTAAGTTGAACTTCAAAGGTTGGTTGACACATAGTGTTGAAAACCTAGCATATAGAGTAAGTTTGATCATTATAGGGTTAGTCTCTATATTCATTAAAAATCGGTTTAGGGTGAGAATCGAACTTACACCCTCACAAAAGAAACAATTTCTGTCTTTTACCTTAACACTCGGCCACAAGAATCTTTCTTTTTCAACGATAGATTCGCCTATATGCTACTATACTCAATCAGCTTTAACATCGAAGCCAACTGACTCAAATTTTTTTAAATCAAGTCCACAAGTCTGAAGATGAAATATATGCAAAATCAATGTTCAGTTAATAATTAATTTTAACCTCGAGTGGGGATCTAAAGTTTCATCAATTCGTTCGCTAAAATTTGAATTTAAAACCCGCTTAATATTCTTTTCAAACAATTTATTTTTAAATTTCCTAAATTCTCGAAATGTTTCAAAATTAAATCTGCAAATACGCCCCCACCTCAAATTAACATACACAGTACCCTCATAATTTTCATCCTCAAATCACAAATAAATGCAAAATTTTCCAAATATTCTCGAATGTGATGTTTATGCCTAATCATGTCTATCAAGTTACTTCCTCTTTTCTTCTCTCCAATCTTGTTGTTTTTCATCCTTTTAAATTCAAACTCATTCATTCCACAAGATGTAACAAATGTCTCGAAAAATTCTTTCCTTTTTCCACATCTACATCGCAATTTCAAGTCGTTGGCAAGGACACGAACGAATTCAAGTCCACAAGATTGATAATAAAATTTTCGTATTACATAAAAAGGGTTTTTTCTTTTCTTTTGTTGAGTCTCTTTTTTTTAGATAAAATTCATTCGACTATACTTCATCATCCTTTTGCATGAACCCAAAACCAGCATTGAAATGTTCTCATACGTATATCCATATTTAGCTCAATTTATTTGCGTTCGTGGAGGATAGAAATAAAAATAATAAAAAATAAGAGAGAGAGAAAAAAGTTGATGACTTTGTAGATTTTTTTTTTCTCTGTGCGGGATTTGTGAGTTGAAAGGGGAATTTTTGGGGATTCTGTTTGTCTGGATGTTTCTGTCAGGGTCTGGAATTAAAATTCAAAAGTTTTCATGACAACAAAATTCAAAGCTTGCATTCAACAATTTCAATGATGAATAATTCTACACAACTTTTGTCTTTATTCGACTTTATTTGACTCTAGATGACTTTAGTCGACTCTAGTCGACTCTATTCGACTCTAGTCGACTATATTCGACTCTAGTCGACTCAAGTCAACTATATTCGACTCTAGTCGACTCTATTCGACTCTAGTCGACTCTATTAGATTCTATTTGACTCTATTCGACTGTATTAGACTCTATTTGACTCTATTCGACTGTATTAGACTCTATTCGACTCTATTCAATTTCATTTGGCTCTTTTCGACTATATTTGACTCAACTTAACTCAACTCATAATAGTCAAAGCATAATCAAAAATCCCTAAATTAAGTGCTCTTCCTTTCGAAAATGACATTCCAACTTCCTCAAAAAAAAACTTCCTTTCTTCCTTAAAAGTATCGAGGGTGAGCACACGCAATCGAAAAGGAAATATTCCCAATAAAATTTATACTTTTCTGTTTCTTATCGTAACCCATCTTACGATCAATTGAACTCTAATATAACGACAACAACAACAACATCATATCTTATGCACCCTATAACCCTCCATTCAATACTTATATGAGAGTTAACTTTAGTTTCTACTGCGGCTTTATATTGTTCCTGAATTGAAGTTAAAGAGCCAATTTTTATTGAAGGAAGGAAGAGATAGAGTGGAATATATTTTATAACCGCACATACATATTCACATGAATCCATATTCACCAAAAATTTATTACCCAAAAATTTCCTACTTTACAACATCAATTTATTTATTTTGTATTATTTTCTTCCTTATTCGTGGCAAATCAACATTTTCATTGATTTTCAAAAAACATTTATTACTTTTTTGGACTTTTTAATGGAGTGGGTGTGTGGAGTTGAGGGGTTGAAGTAAGGGTGCATTGTGAAGTTGCAGGTAAATTCGTAATTTTACTATCAATAATGACTAGGTTGTCTTTATTAGCTTTAAGTATACCTTGTAAATTTGTTTCTTATTTCCTTGATTACTGTCAGATGCATTCAGACCCCAGAAGACTCTTTATTTTTGTCTAAAACTATAAAGCGCCCAAATATTTCATACAACTCATTATTTTACCTTCAATCAAACCCCCTCAAATGCTTCTATTCCCTCAAATTATTCAAGGAACCATCAATATGTATTTAAACTTACATACATAGTAGTGAACTGTAAAATCGATATGGAAAAAATCAACCGAAAAACGCATTAATCAAGTCTTTTTCTCTTGCTTTGTTTTGGTTTGGTTTTCGAAGGAAAAAAAAATATTTTTCGAGTATATCAACGAGCAATTTTGTTGGTATAGCGAATGAAAATATCTGATTTTGACAATTTGAATTAGAATTTCAGGGAGAATAGAGAATGGGTGGATGAAGAAGTAGGAATTATTGGAGATTTAAATGAATAGTTGGATGAATTAAGCGCTTTTAAGTGTTCTTAAGAATCTATAAAGTTCAAGCTAATCATAAATTAAAATTTTAACTTAATGGAAAATTTATAAATTTTCCTAATGTTTCTAATTATTCAGAATTTTGAATGAAAAATTGATCAATTTTTAACCAGCACTTTAACAATAAGTTAGCAAAAATCACATCAATTTCCAGTAAAAATTACATAAAAATCCTTGACAGCAACCCCAGGTTTGGGTATCATCACACAATTCATCAACAAGCACCCAAAGTGAGTCCATAAATCCGACATCAAAGCTAGAAAAACTTTTGACACACTAAACAAATTATTCGATGAATGATCAAAGTCACACAGTTAAAGCCACTTGACCTCCCCGAAAATTCAAGCAGCACTCTTTATTGATGATGTGAAGTATGTCATTAATTTTTCCCCCCAGAAAAAAGAACCACAAAGAAATTTTTCATTTTCCTTGTTTTTTTTTCTTCCTTTATTGTGTTTATTATTCGAAGTGAGATGAAGTAATTAATCAATTAGTCATCGTCATTTGGCCACGAGAAACATCATTTTTTATTAATTTCGATCGAAATCAAAACGCAAATATAAGGAAAAGAGCTGTTGATGTTTGTCAGAGGGGGAAATTGTGATTTTTATCAATTTTTATGGTGATTTTTTTTTTCTTTTTTGATGAGTTGAAAGAAAATTGGTATTAAAATAGGTTAGGAATATTTGAAATAAATCCATTGAAATAAAATTTGATTTTTAATAGATTATTTAAAATTTGAATTTAATTTTTAAATGCTTGATTTTTTAAAAATAAATTTTAAATAATTAATAAAAAAAACCCAAAAAAATCAAATAAATTTTAAATATTTAAAATCGTATTTTTTAAATTTTTCAATATTTTTAATTTAAAACTTTTTTATCTTTCAAATTAATTTTAATATTTCTTTAATCTCTTTAAAAAAAATAAAAATCAGCAAATGACACAATTCTGACTATTTCAACACATTTTCTTTCCAAAAATTTTCCTCACAGCCTGATTCAATTCCTCATTCCAACTTTCATTTTCATTTCAATGTTTTATTCAAACATTGTTTTGTCATCAAAATCCCGCCACGTGCTTTTCTTCCCAACAAAACAATCAAAACAAAATAAAATAATAAAAATTCTCTCAAATCTCAAAGAAAATTTTCTTTTCCGACTTTTTCGTTTGATTCTGCGCATTTTCTTAAATGTTTCATTTCTACATTTTCTATCTTGTTATTAATTTTCTGATTTTCCTAGTCACAGTTTCTGAATGTTGCAAGTTTCAGTCTAACGCGAGTTAACGGCGGAAGAACATCAAAGCGATTTTTTTGCTCGCAAAAATATTTCTAAAAAGCAAAAAATTTACGAAAATTATAAATCTCGAAAAGATTGTGATGGATTTTTTTTTTTGTTTTAATTTTTTTGAGAGGTGATTTTATTTTTTCTTGAAGAGTTTTGTGCTTCAAATTATTATTATGTAAAGTTGGAAATGATTAACAGGAAATTTTTGGGAAATGAAGTTGAAGGTTGAGGATGTTAAGAAGAGTTGTGAATTTTTTATGAAAACATTTTTTTTTTGCCAAAGAATATTAAAATGTTACAAAAATGTGAAGTGTTGAAGAATAACAAGTTGATTGAGTCAAAAATTGCGTAAATAAAGTATTTGGAAATTTAGAACAAGTTTTGTTATTAATTAGGAGATTAGTTTACCTTTACGCAGAATTGTTTGAACTTAAACTTGAAAAATTAAACCTTTTCCCTAGTAACCAAAATGTTCCATATAATCTTCCTTCGACGTCGATGGAAGATCAAATGTATCATTATTTATTATATGTAAAATATTTGTTTTACAAACATGTAACAAAAGTGTTCCATCGAAGTATTACATGAGCCTGCTTAGGATCAAATCCTATGAAAAATCATCAAAAAAAAATATTTTTTTGCAGGAAAATAATATTTGTTCTAAATTTGGCATTTGCGATATACTTCACAATTGCTCGAAGAAATCACTATTATAAGTTCTCTCTAAATTTGTATGGGGCTTTCAATTAATTATTTATCTTCCTCAGGTTTGTGTGCGAGTCTTGGGCGTTCATCAGTATGCGACTTAATTAAATTAAGTCCTTTTTGTTCTTTTTCGTAGTGTTAGTGTACTTTAATTAAGTACACACTAATACTTTTACAATAATTTACACAAATAAATGAAAACTACAAAAGAACACGTGGAATTTAGCACGTGTTTTTATGCAAAAAAAGTAATCCATTTGTTTTCCATTTGTATTCCTTTGATGTATTACATTGATGTCTTATTGCATTGTCCATTTATCTTCCATTTTCATAGGACATCATCTTCCGATGGATAATACATGGATAATACATATGTATCATCCATGGAAGATTCTCATGGAATACATTGATCTACCTTTTGGTTACTAGGGTTAAAAATCAGATGAATTTTCAAAATGTATAAAATTAAGTTTTGAAGTTTTTTGATGATTTAGATCGTTTTATAATTAAATTGAGAAAATTAAACGTTGAAGAAAGTTCAAAACCTAATTAATTGTGCAAAAAATGAATGTTGAAGTTTGACGACATAAGCTCAGAAGCGATAAAATCAAGAAAAAATTTGAAAAATTGAAAAACAAATAAATTTGCAACTGATAAGCGCAAGATGAAGTTCTGGATCCGGAAGAAATATTTTGTGAATTTTGTTTTTCAACATTTTTCATGATTATAATAATTTAGAGATTAGTTTCAAAAATTACTAATGATTAGATTAAATTTAATTCAAATTAATAGAACAGAGATTTATTATCTAAAAAGAATCACGACTCAAGTTACGTTTTACTTTCTACACCAAAAAGAAAAATAATCCCTGAGCTTGTTTGCATTAAAACTTAGATATTCCATTGAATCCCAAGATTATATGTCCAATATACTAAGGATCCGTTGGGATTTCTTAATTTTAATCCATACAGGCTTAGAGATTATTTTGTCAATATATTTGGATAGCAATGCTATCATTATCAAAATCAATTGCTACTTTATTTGAAGAATCAAATCAGAATCTCTTAAAAAACAATATATTTTTAAATTAAATAGAGGATTTAAATTCGTTTGGTCTCCAAATTAGAGATTTTGGTCTTCACTAGATGCGTTTAAGGAGTCTACGGTTTAAGAACAAAAACCTTTATTGTTGCAAAATTGTAAAATAGTTTTATTAAAATACATTTTATTTTAAAATAATCATTTAATGCGTTATTATGAAATTAAAACTCAAATGTAAAAATCACTACTTGAACAATTTAAAGTTTAAACACAAAATTAAGAGTTACTGTTATTTCTGGACATCTAATTCGTTCCTTCCATGTCTTTTTTACTCTTATATGGTCAGAATTTAAGGTTTTATAAAAGTTTAATGAATTAAATTGTAATTTAATTCTAAACGTGTTTAAACTCATAAAATCACTCAATATTGAGGCTTTCTTTCATGTATAAATTGTGGTCTGTCCATTAAATTAATTTTCAATGGTGCTAATTTTTCTTTCAAATAAAAAAAATCTTCTTTCTCAAAATAAAAAAAATTCCCATTTAATCATCGCAAATAAATTTTCAATCTCAAATCAAAAATTCACAAAAAAGAAGAAAAAAACTTCAAAATAATTTAAGAAAGAGAAGAAAAAGGTCTCAGTTGATGGATTATTAAGTGTTGATAAATTTTGAGTGCGGTTTATCTTCTCATTTTCTATTCTATTTATTTCTCCTCATTCATTTAATCTTTTTTTTTTGTTTTAAAAAAAAATAAAAGAAAAATTTGCTCGTGAAAAATAAATTTACTGTCGGTAAAAAAAGAAGTGTAAAGATCGCCGCTTCCCCCCACACGCATCTCATCATCGTCATACAAAATAATCGACTTAATATGTTTCACATTTTTTTGTGGATATTGAACATAAACTTTAAAAAGGGTTATTAATTCACACAATAAGAAGAAGAAAAATGAAACATTTGGGACACAGCAAGAAGTTTTTTTTTCGGTGTGAAATACAAATTACTAATGATATTAAATAAACTGCCACACTCGTTAATTTGTTATTGTCATTTGGCTCCGCATGAATTTTCATCTCGTTTACATTTTTTCCTTCATCTCAGCTCATATCCGATTTGTATAAACTCATCAAGGGGAAATAAATAACTTTTCATTTTTGTTTCTTTTCTTGGAAATTTTTGAAGTGGATGATGATAAACTTTTTTTTATAGACAGATATTTTTGAGACGCATTTTTATAAGTGGTGATTTTTTTGGTATATTGGGAATATTTGCCGGACATACTTTGTAATAATCAAAGAAAGCAAAAAATTTATGAAGAATAAATATTGATTTATTTTAAAAATGTCCTCAGAATTTTCAGGGTTACAGTGATTGACAGGCATAATCTTTACCTGTCGGCTAGGATGTTTTGATTACGGAAACATCAAAACAGTTAGATGTTTAAATGGGATGGCTGTATGCTTACTGTTAAATAGCAAATAATAGAAATTGTTTTTTAAAATACAAAATTATGTTGCTAGAATAATTAAATTATTTGAGAGCTATGTGTTTGATTGGCCTTACTTTACTCAATATCAGAATGCGAAGTCAACTCGAGTTGACTCAAGTCGACTCTGGTTTTTTCGAGTTGACTCGACTTTTCTTGAGTTGACTTAATTTTTTTCCGAGTCAACTCGACTTGAGACAACTTCTTCATACAAAAAAAACTACCGAGTTTACTCGAAGTCGACTCAAGTCGATTTGACTCGAATTTGACTCCGAAATATATGAAGTCAATTCGAGAAAGTTCTCTAAATTTAACCTCCTTTTTATTACACAAAAATTGCACATTTTTTAATATTTCTTTAATTTCTTGTATTTATCTGAGTCTTAACACAAAGGAAAATGTGTGAAAGAATGAGGATTTATGTCTGATTAACTGACTTCATTAGTATTTGAGCTGGAACCTTGTCTGATTTTGATTTAAACATGCTCATGTTACTTTGTATTGGAATAAGTTCTTTACTATAAGGCTCAACAGAAATTGTTCTAAACATTAAAAAAGTACATCCCGACTATAGACCAATTCAAACGCTTTATGGACTAATCTCTCCACTTGGTTAAAATATAAAATAAGAGAACTGTCCTCTGTAAACCCAACAGCAGGTGGTCATAACGCAGGGGCGTAGCCAGAAAATTTTTAAGGGGGGGGGGCCATTTTCGAAAATTAAAAAACCGTTATTTTGTATCCTTAAATCTATATTCATTCTTCATAAGTTTAAATATATAATTCATTATTCAAACATTAAATTTAATTTTTCGTGCTGATTTTGACATTTCTTTCATCACTTCCTCTACATTAACTGGTTCTTCTCTATACATACTTAATAAAACAATTATCAGATTTTCGTAGGGGGGGGGGGCCGGGCCCCATATGCCCCCCCCCCCCCCCCCTGGCTACGCCCCTGTCATAACGTAATGTAAAGGATCCTTATTAAGTTCAAACTTTAAAAAATAAAGCAAATTTCAAAACATCAAAAAAGAGTCAAAATTTATAATTTTTCAAAAATTCCCAACTCTTCAAACCAAATAAAATGTTAAAACCCCTTCAAAATCAACGATAATTGATCAAATCAAACTTAATGAACTCTAATCAATTAACTTCATTTCCCAAAAAAAAATTATCCTAAATCTAAATTCCCAAATCACCCAACAACTCAATCATCAGTTCATTTCCCATAGGAAAAAAAAGTGAAACTCTTTTTAGAAAAGAAAAAATTATGAATCAACTGTGAAGATTTCGTTGTTATAAGAAAAGTGATGTGAAAAAAAAAGATTGAATAAACTCGCAAGTGCTAAACGAGAAAATGCTTTGATGATCATCACATAGAAATGTGCGTGTGAGAATTAGTCTGAGGAAGAAATTGTCAACGTATCGAATGTGTTTATAGAAAAATAAAATAAAAAAATAAATAGAAGTGAAAAAAAAGAGATGAAAAATTGGGAGCACTTACAAATCATCATAAGAATTATGTAGCTGTGAAAATATTAACAGAAATAAAATTTATTTTAGTTTAATCATTTGATGAGACATTTAAGATTTTTTCCTCTTCGTAAGCACAAGAAGCTGCTCAGTCGTTGACGCACAAGACGGAAATTTATTTCGCAAAAGAAAAATTATTTTATTATATTTTAATGATGATGTTGATGAGTCAGTGAAGAAATTAATAAGATGCACAACTGCAAACGGATGGAAATTTACATTACTATATTAGCAATTCTCCTTTGTGCTGTTCATGGTAGGTTCAACTTTGAAAAATTATCTCACATTAATTTTTATTAAGTAATGAATATATCCACTTGAAATTTTATCCATTCTGGCTGCTTTTGGAAGCCCGAAAGTGTTTAAGAAAGGTCTCAAGAATTTTTTTTTTGCTTTTTCGTTCCTTTTTGTTTTGTGTGTCTTGTGGCTGAAACATCAACAATAAGAAATTTGTTAAAATGGGGAAAAAGTAAAAGTATTGAAAGGGGAAAAAAAAGTTTTCGAGGCATAAAATGAGGAAAATTATTTTTTTCTGGCAGTTTTTAGAAATGTTTAAAATTATTTTAAAGTAAATTACGAAAAAAAATTTTAACATAGGGTTGGGCAAATATTCGAATATATTCGAACATATATATGTTAAAATTTAACATAAAAATATTGTTAATAATCTTTCAATTTTGCTATGGATTCACGCCGTTCATGTCGTTTAATTATTTTTTAACGTGAAAAATCGACTTTTTAGACCCTTTCCCCCTGGTAACAAAGTTTGTATGGAAAAAAAGTTTCTTTTGTTTCAACTGTAACAAATTCTTCGACCTCCTCCCCCTTCAAAGCGTTACTTAATAAGTAAACAACCCCTATGTTGTGTGATGAATAATAAGCAATTTTTTTTAAAAAAATTATCAAACGATACCCAAGCGTACCCCTTGCACGCCACAGCATTTTCTTAAATACACAAAAGTCCAAAAAACTAAATAAATAAATTTCTAAGAATCATTCTCTCCAAAACTCAAACTCAAACCTCAACTTACCTCCAAAGATTGATGATAGAAATGCTCCAAACCGTCCAAACTGTCCTAACCCAACAAGAAAGCAATTGAGGAATGAGAAGCGAAAAAAAAAAGTCTCAAAAAAGTAAAACAAATGAAATGTTGTTTAAATATCTCGTAAAGAGGCTGAAAAATAAATTTAATTACAAACCAAACACATCCCTTTCCATTTCTGTCTTTCTACTTATTCTCATTATGGTGATGCGTGTGTGTGTGTGTTCATTGCATATCAAAAAAAATTGTTTAAAAAAGATCAAAAGAATAGAAATGGGTGGCATGAAAACATCATAAAAGTATCCCATTTCTGTTTGATCACAAGAATAAAAATTATGTAGCTTGACAAGGGGTGGAACTTAGTGATTTGTGGGTTTTTTTTTTTTTTTTTTTTATATTTCATTTTATTTGTAAATAACCTTACGGTTGTGTTACAGATATATTAATCAAAATTGGTGACAAAGTGCTGTATTCATATTAAACTTAATTTTAATTTACCTAATTGCATCACTGTAGCCTTCATAGAAGTATTCTTTTATTCGAGATTTAAATAAGCTAAACGAAAAAGTATTTCGGATTCTCTGATCAAGCGAATTATACAATGCCAGACCTCTTATATAAAAGTTTTGACTTCCTAGCTGTGTGCGAGACATTGGAACAATGAAATTTTTTCTTGCTCTTGTATGATGACCATGTCTTTGATCAGCAGTTTGAATTATTATATTATTCACTAGCATATTGCTGATTATTTTAAAGATCTGAATGCATATATTCACTTGATATAATGTCGACAATGGGAGTATTCGTATGCTGTATAGTTCTGATTTACTGCAGTACCAACTCTTGTTTAATAATATTCTAAGCGACTTTCTTTGAGCAACCTCGAGGGAATTTATATTGTAATTAGCAGCAGAAGACCATATCGAGCTCATATATATGAGGCGAGATTGTACATGCGCGTAATATAAGTCGATTGCCGTTTTATCCGAAATTAAATGTCTTATTCTTTTCGTAGCATACGAAAATGATATGACTTGATCTTTAATTGATTGAATGTGTGGTTTGAATGAAAGAGTTTCGTCGATAATAAGTCCTAGAACTTTAACGTTCTCAACTCGTTCTATTGTTTTCCCAGAGAATCGAATATTTAATGATGCGCCTGTAAAGTTCTCGAATTTCTTTTTATTATGAAATAAAATGTACTTAGTTTTATCCGCGTTTGGTACTAATCTATTTAACATTAACCATTCTTCTATTTTCCGTAAGTCATGTTCTATGTTGCTTTTTAATTCCATTGGATCATTACCAACATTAACGAGTGTAATGTCATCACAATATAAAGAAAGCTTTCCAGATAGATCAGGGTTCTGTAGAGATTTTAAGGTTAGATTTATTTACGGAGTTGTCATGTAATTGATTAGCTTTTGCTATTGCTTCTAAATTGGTATCACCTAGATCTATCTTGACCAACCTAGACCAACCTAGACTTACCTAAACCTACCTAGACTTACATAGACTTATCTTGACCTATCTAGACCTGCATAGACCTACATAGACTTATCTAGACCTACCTAGACCAACCTAGACTTACTTAGACCTACCTAGACCTACCAAGACCTCCATAAACCTATCTTGACCAACCTAGAGCTAGCTAAACCTATCAAGATCAATCCAGAGTCCTACTTAGACCTACCTAGAGCTTCTCAGACCAGTCTAGACCTAACTAGACCTACTTAGACCCACCTAGACTAATAAAAGTAATCTACCTGTGTTATAAATCTTTCAAAGCATAACTAGCGATCGCTTCTAGGTTAAAAGTAAAATTTCCCACAGTAAACTTCACACAGTATAACACCATATCCCTCCTTATAACCACAAACTACTCCACCCTTGAATTTTTATTATTCATCCAACAAGGAGAGAAAAAAATCTAATTTCAGATTGTTTATAATAAAACCCGTCTTTCCAAACACTGTGTTCACTCAATTTATGTCCAAATCTATAATTTTTTTATGTGCGTTGCCGAACAATTATTTTCAGTTTCAACTGTGACCACAAATTCAATTATAGTCTAAATATTCATTTTGCCTTATTATTTTACTTAACGATGTTTAATTATCATTCGTGAAGCACTTCATGCGCAACATTGGGAACTTTTTTATCTTCTTTTACTGGCACTTTAACTAGCTATGGTTTGAAATTTGTTTTTTAATGATTTTTTAAAGGGGTGTCAGGGCATGCATTTCGTCAGTCTATCTTATTATTGATCTATAATTTGAGCTGCGTTTTAGAGCCACCTTAAACATTGAAACTTGGCTCAACAAAATTTGTATTGACACTGAGCAAACAAGTTTCAAGAAAGGAAAGGTTTTTTTTTATATTCTCTGTAAATTTATACACAGGAATAGACAAGAAACAAGAGACGAAGAAAATTGAAAGAAATCAAATATTTTCATTTCAACTTGTTGAACCTTTAACGGCAATTATTTCGTGTCCCTTGGGTTGAATTTTGCTGGGTTTGTTCAACACAATTGATCTCAAGGGGTTCTGATTCCTTAATTGATTTCTAAGCGGTGCTTTATTGGGAGTCACTACAATATAAATGCTTAAAATATGCAGCGACGACTTATTCAGTGTAAAAACATGAAGCAATGACTAATTTTGTGTTAAAAATTAAAGCGTCAACTTATTCTTAATTAAAATATAACGCAATGACTTATTTGAAACTGAAACACAAAGCGGTGACCTATTTAAAGTTAAAACACAATGCAACGATTTATTTAAAGTCGAAACATGAAGCAACGACTTATTTACAACCAAAAATAAAGCGGAGATACATCTCAAGGGCTATGTTCCCTTAACTTCATCCCAGATAAACATTGAAATAAAACGAGAAAATGAGCCACTTGAATTGATAATTAAAATGAAGCCCCATGTCGATTATTTTTCAACATACTTAAGACACTTGAGACTTGCTCGTCTCGTTGTTGTTGTCATTTCTTTTCCTTCATCTTCGCTGAGTTGAGGACATAAAAAATGACAAGAAATTTTACGGTAGCATAAAGTGTAACTAAAAGAAAAAAGAAGATAAGCGATAAAGATGAATTAACAAACTTAACAAGACCTTACGTCAATTCAAATTAACATTATAAAAAATATATAAATAAAAACTGCTGCCTTTATTATTTCATAATACCATCGTGCAATGAATTGGAAGGAGACGGACACAACAGAAAAAAATAGACACGTTAAGAAAAAACAAGACAAATCAACAAGCCACTATCGTCAACCTCGACATGAACGAGATACAAGATATAAGTAATCAAAATTTATTCATCTGTTAAATAAACATTTCATTTCAATTTCAATTTATGCTACTCTTGCAGAGATACAGTGAATAAAAATGAATGAGAGGAAAAAAGGGAATAAAAATGGAGATGGAAGTTGAATTTGGATGGCTTATGATTGATGTTGAAACGCACTTTGGATTTTGTTGAGATTTATGGTTTCAAATAGTATTTTAATTGAACTTAAATAAACGATTTGATTTCAAATTTAAGTTAAATCGACGATTTAAAATCAAATTGAACTTAAATCGACGATTCCATCTCAAATTGAACTTAAATCGACGATTCCATCTCAAATTGAACTTAAGTCAACGATATGATCTCAAATGGAACTTAAATGAAAAAAGAATCTCAATTTGAATGACGATTTGATCTCAAATTGAACTTAAATCGAAGATGTTATCTCAAATTGAACTTAAATCGACGATTTTATCTCAAATTGAACTTCAATCGATGATTCTATCTCAAATTGAACTTGAATCGACGATTTGATCTCAAACTGAACTTAAATCGACAATTTTATCTCAAATTGAACTTAAATCGACGATTCCATCTCAAATTGAACTTAAGTCAACGATATGATCTCAAATGGAACTTAAATGAAAAAAGAATCTCAATTTGAACGACGATTTGATCTCAAATTGAACCTAAATCGATGATTTGATCTCAAATTGAACTTAAATCGACGATTTGATTTCAAATTGAACTTAAGTCGACGATTTGATCTCAAATTGAACTTTAATCAATGATTTGATCTCAAATTGAACTTAAGTCGACGATTTTATCTCAAATTAAACTTAAATCGACGATTTGATCTCAAATTGAACTTAAATCGAAGATTTTATCTCAAATTGAACCTAAATCGA